TGAAAAGAATCTACATATGGTTTAGAGAAAGACAGACATAAAATATTTTTCTATTTGTTTCATCTTTAGTAGACTCGAGACAACCTTTCATTAAAAACTTGGCAAAAAATTAATAAGCATGACTATGTATCCTGTCTGATCAATGCTTAAAAGCTGACAGTGCCTAGGAAGGAAGAGGTATACAAACAGCAGGCCTGCCTCTGAGTTCTAGAATCCATTCTCTTCTTGCTTCTTCTAACCAGGAGGAGAGAAGATACAAATTTCTAGTTATTGATGAAGTAGTGATAACAAATTTGAACATATTTCCTTTCTTGGTAATAACAATTAGCATTTTAAATCGTCTACTGGATGGTAGGTTCTGTTCTAAGCAACTTACATATATTACCCTTTTTAATCCTTAGGACAGCCCTGCCAAAAAAGCGATTATTTTCTTCATTTTCTAAAGAGAGAACTGAGGCAGCCTTTTTGTTGCTGCCTCTCCTTAAATATCGAACCAGGGGTAAGAAACTATAATAATCTAATTCCAGGAATTAGCCAATCAAAAGGGAGAATATTGTGGCTCCGTTGAGGGAAAACCAAGGGGCAGCTGTTCAAATTATTTTGTGGACATCAACAAACTGATTTTAAAGTTTATGTGGAAATGCAAAAAGACCTAGAATAATCAATGTAATAATGAATTTGGAGGACTGACACCACCTGACTTCACTATGTACTATAAAACTACAGTAATCAGAAAAGCAAGGAAGTGGCAAAATAGACAAATAAATCAATGGAGAGGAAGAGAAAGCGCAGAAACAGACCCACGCAAATATAGCCAACTGATCTTTGACAAAGAAGCAAGGGAAATTCAGTGGAGAAAGGACAATTTCTTCAAAAATGATGCTGGAGAAACTGGACATCCACATGCAAGAAAATAAATCCAGACACAGATGTTACACCTTTCACAAATATAAACCCCAAATGGATCACAGACCTAAATGTAAGACACAAAACTATAAAACTCTTAGAAGATAATATAGGGGAAAATTGGGGGGACCTTAGATTTAGGTGATGAGTTTTTATTTTTATTTACTTATTTATTTATTTTCGAGACAGAGTTTCACTATGTCCCCCTGGGAAGAGTGCCGTGGTGTCACAGCTCACAGCAACCTCAAACTCTTGGGCTTAAGTGATTCTCTTGCCTCAGCCTCCCAAGTAGCTCGGACTACAGGCGCCTGCCACAACGCCATGCACCTATGTTTTTGTTGTAGTTGTCATTGTTGTTTTTAGCAGGCCCACGCCAGGTTTGAACCTGCCAGCCTTGATGTGGCCAGCACCCTAGCCACTGAGTTTTTAAATACAACACCAAAAGCACAGTCCATGAAAGAAAAAAATGATGTTGAACTTAATTAAAATAAAAAACTTCTGCTCTGAGAATGGGTGCAGTGGCTCACATTTATTACCCTAGCACTTTGGGAGACTGAGGCAAGAGGATCACTTGAGGCCATACTATACAACATAGCCAGATCCCATCTCTCCAACAAATAGAAAACTTAGCTGGGCATGATGGCATGCACCTGTAGTCTCAGCTATTTGGGAGGCTGGGGCAAGAGGACTGTTTAAGCCCAGAAGCATGAGGTTGCAGTAAACAATAATGATACCACTGTACTCCAGTTTGGGTGACAGAGCTAGACCCCGTCTCAGAAATAAACAAAACAAAACAATTTCTGCTCTATAAAAGACACTGAGAATGAAAAGCCAGACTTGGAGGAAACATTTGTACAACAACATCTGATAAATGACTGGTATCCAAAATATACAAACTCTTAAAATTCAACAATAAAAAAAGCCCTCACAAGATAGGCAAAAGATCTGAACAGACACTTTGCCAGGGAAGATACCCAGATGACAGATAAGTGTGGAAAGGTGCCAAATATCATATGTCTCCAAGGATTTGCAAATTCAAACAATGAGATACCACTAAACACTTATTATAATGACTAAAACCTAAAGAGCTGACAACACCGAATGCTGACAAGGATATGGAGCCATAGGAGCTCTCACTCATTGCTGGTGCAAAATGTTATAGCTACTTTGGAAGAAGTTTGGCAGTTTCTTACAAAGCTAAATATACTCTCTTTTTTTTTTTTAATTGAGACAGTCTCACGTTGTTGCCCAGGATAGAATGCTGTAATGTCATAGCTCACAGCAACCTCAAACTCTTGGGCTCAAGCAATTCTCTTGCCTCAGCCTCCCAGCAGCTGGGACTATAGGCACCCACCACAACGCCTGGCTATTATTTTTGTTTGTTTAGCAGGCCCTGGGCCGGGTTCAAGCCCACCAGCCCCAGAGATGTAGCCAGCGCCCTAACCACTGAACTACAGGCACCCAGTCAAAGCTCAATATAGTCTTAACATATAATTCAGCAGCTGTCCTCCTATATATTTACCCAAATTAGTTGAAAACTTATGTCCACACAAACATTTATTTGCACAAGAATGTTTATAGTAGCTTTATTCGTAATTGCCAAAAATGAAAAACAACCAAGATGTCCCTCAATAAGTGAATGAACAAAAGGAGATATACAATACAGTGGAACAGTGTTCAGCCATAAAAAGAAATGAACTATCAAGCCATGAAAAAGACATAGGGGAATCTCAATGCCTATTTCTTTTTTTTTTTTTGCGGTTTTTGGCCAGGGCTGAGTTTGAACCCACCACCTCCGGCATATGAGGCCGGCGCCCTACTCCTTGAGCCACAGGCGCCGCCCCTCAATGCCTATTTCTAAGTGAAAGAAGTTGAACATGTATGATTCCAACTATATGACATTCTAGAAAAGCAAAACCAGGGGCGGTAAAAAACCAGTAGTTACCAGGAGAAGAGGGGAGAGGGATGAACAGGTAGAGCACAGGGGATTTTCAGGGCAGTGAACCCATTCTGTAGCTGTATAATACTGCAGTGGTCAACACACGTTACTGTACATTTGTCAAAACCCATAGAACTATCAAACACTCAGAGTGAACCCTATGCAAAGTATGGACTTTAGTTAGTAAAAAGCAACAAAACAAAAACAAAAAAAGTAAAAAGCAAAACAAAATCACTATATGGTAATGGAACACCAGTCTAATACCTGCCTGTCCTTTGTAACTTCCGTATACAGTGCAGTGGTAACGTTTACTGTTTCTCACATGCCAGTTTCTATGCTAAGCACTTTATGCATAGTGTCATTTATTCCTTTCAAGGACCTAATGAGATAGGTCCCACTATTATCACCATTTTCACTTAAAAAATTTTTTTTGCTACCCCCTTTCTCCATGTTCATTTTTAGTCAAGATTTTTAAAAAGTTGTGTAATATAATATGTGTTTCTTCTTTTTTTTTTTTTGCAGTTTTCAGCCAGGGCTGGGTTTGGACCCACCACCTCCGGCATATGAGGCTGGCACCCTACTCCTTTGAGCCACAGGCGCCACGCAATATGTGCTTCTTTATTAGCCTGTCTTAATTAGCTGTATCTAATACCTGCCATAATTCTGAAGTCGTGTTTGATAGATCAGGTGTACCTGCCCAAATAAACTTGCCCCAAGGGTCAAGAGAGGGTCAAGTTCAAGGCCTGCTCACGAAGGGTCAAGTTCATGGCCCTCCCAGGAAACAGGAATGCCACCTATCCCGACTGCCCTAACCCTATAAATCCTTGTCGGCCACAGCCCACGTGTAGATTTTCTCCCTGGTCAGGAATCTCACCCCATCTGCACTGTAGGTGGAATAAAGGCCACTTTAACTGCATGAATTAGATCTCCGTTTTCCTTTCGTCTCCCATCTTGGAATGGTTTTATCCTTGGGTCAGGAACCTTTCAGTGTTGAGTATAAATAACATTTCAAGATATTTGCAATAAGTAACATGATATGAAATATCTGTGATTTCTGCTGGTGGCAAATCCGCTACTGCTAATGTTACTGTGGATTTTCCTACATTCCTCTTAAAGGAAATGCTACATTTCAGATAGATGTTAGTGAAATACATAACAAATTTTCCATCCAAGTTCACAGACTTCCTGAATTCTACTTAAGGACACGTCGGGTATCATGGACTGCCCAGATTAAGAATCCTGGCACAAGTTTCTTACTATGCTAACACCTTCTGCAAGCCTCTTTTCCCGTCTTAGGAACACAAAAGAGGAAATCCAGGCCAATACTTTACTTTGAATGGAGTCTGATGTAGTCTTCTTTCAAGCTCTCCCAAAGAAACCTAAACAAAGCCAGCAGAGGGGGTAGGTGCTGTGTTTTCAGTATGCAGCATTTTTATATCCCTGGACAGCAAAGTACTGAGGACTCCACAATCAGGTTAATGACATCTTCTAGTCCATTATCATTCAGGCCTTAAGGGCCCAAAGTTGAATCTATTGACAGACAGATGGAAAAGGAGAGAGGTGGGAGAGGACCCACCTGAGTTTTACCGCCTGCTTAATGCAGTCACTAAAACTCACTCGTATGTAACTATTTCAAATATTGGAAATCATTTTACTCATGGCATACTATAATCTATCAAGACGTCTATAACCGGACGTACACACACCCTAGGGTATTAGACAATTAGCAGGTTCAATAATGACTACAGAAAACAAACCATACAATAAAAAATGGAAGATTTTCCCTTCCTTTGAGGAAACGTTATGTTGCTCACTGATTAATTCTTCTGCCTCCCCTGATGACAATACAGAGGCAGTGCCATTTATGGCAGGTGCTCTGAGCCTCCTTGGAGGTTCCCTTTGTAAAACTGCAGCGACACAAAGATCCTGGTCAGCCCTTATTCTCCCCAGCCTGGTCCTTTGGGTTCTCTGACATGGGTGGAGCAGCCTCGGCCCCTGTTAAGGAACGGAGCCGCTCTCGCCGCAGGTGGCGACGGGGAAAGGGTGGAGACGCCTTTACCTGGTGGCGAGAGGACCCCAGAGCGTCTCCGGGTGCGAGGACAGCTCCGTTGCGCTCGCGGGAAGGACCAGCGAATCCGCCCTCGGTTCTAGGCGAGGATAGCAAGGGATGCTCAGCAGCTCCCGCACCCGCCGGACTGGTTTGTGGTTAGCAAGTTCCTGCTTCCGTTACAGCGACTGAAAGTTTGCTGCGGGGGAAGGGCACATTCCTGCCCTGCAACCCGGAGCTGCTTCCCAACAACATCCAGCTCGGTCCCCCGGGCACCGAGTGAGAGCCTCGATCTCCTCCCCGCGGAGCCTCGAAGTACTGGGAGCCAGTGTTGAATCCCCGAGAGAGCCCGCGTCCCCTTGCCGCCCCACCCGGCGGACCCCGGGCTGAGCGCGCGGCAGGGGGCGTGGGTGCCACCCAGCTGGCAGCCTCAAGGCTCTGCAGCTGAGCGCTGGTGCCTGGGAAGCCCGATCCCGCGCAAACACACGTGGAGGAAAAGTCAGCTGTACCCAACTGCTTACAGTGAAAAGTCTACTCCCTGTGTTCTGGCCTCCTAGTCCTCCACCCTAGAGGTAACCACTGAGAGCGGTATTTTTGATGTTCAAGAGTACATTCTAGTAGTCCCAGCTACTCGGGAGACTGAGGCAAGAGAATCGCCTTAGCTCAGGAGCTGGAGGTTGCTGTGAGCTAGGACATCACAGCATTCTACCGAGGGCGATAAAGTGAGACTCTGACTCAAAAAAAAAAAAAAAAAAAAGAGTACATTCTATCTGGGAGGCCCAGGCGGGTGGATACTGTGAGGTCAGGAGTTACAGACCAGCCTGAGCATACCCGAGACCCCCGTCTCTAAAAATAGACGGGCGTTGGCTGGCGCCGGTAGCTCAAGCGGCTACGGCGCCAGCCACATACACCAGAGCTGGTGGATTCAAATGTGGCCCGGGCCTGCCAAACAATGACAACTATAACCCAAAAATAGCCAGGCGTTGTGGCGGGCGCCTGTAGTCCCAGCTACCTGGGAGGCCGAGGCAAGAGAATCACTTAAGCCAAGGAGTTGGAGGTTCCTGTGACCCATGATGCCACCCCACTCTACCCAGGGCAACAGCTTGAGGCTCTGTCTCTAAATAAATAAATAAATAAATAAATAAAATAGACAGGCGTTGTGGCAGGTGCCTGTAGTCCCAGCTGCTTGGGAGGCTGAGGCTAGAGAATCACTTGAGCCCAAGAGTTTAAGGTTGCCGTGAGCTTTGATGTCATGGCACTCTACCCATGGCGACAAAGTGAGACTCTGTCTCCAATGTGGGGCGTAGTTACGAGAATCCTATTATTATTATTTTGAGACAGAGTCTCAAACTGTCACCCTGAGTAGAGTGCTGTGGTGTTGCAGCTCACAGCAACCTTAAACTCTTGGGCTTAAGCAAGTCTCTTGCCTCAGCCTCCCAGGTAGCTGGGACTACAGGAGCCCACCACAACGCCTGGCTATTTTTTGTTATTGTTGTTGTTGTTGTTGCAGTTGTCATTGTTGTTTTAGCCTATCTGGGCCCGGTTTGAACCCATCAGCCTCATACACCCTAGTTGTATGTGGCCGGCACCCTACCCGCTACAGGTGCTGCCCAGAGAGAATCCTATTTCGTTAATTGGAGGATGTAGGGCCCTTAGTTAGAGTTGGCAATTCTTGAATTAAACATGTATTAAGTGCAAGTAAAGCACCTAGGAAGGTATTTGGCTTTCTGCAAGATTTATTGTTTATAGGTATGAATAATAAGGATGAAAACAATGGTGTCTATTATAGTTATTAAAATTATATCCCTAGGCTGGGCATAATGGTTCATACCTGTAATCCTAGCACTCTGGGAGGCCAAGGAGGGTGAATTGCCTAAGCTCAGGCATTTAAGACCAGTCTGAACAAAAGGGAAACCCGGCTAGCCTAAACGGGAAGATTCCCATCTCTATTAAAAATACAAAAACTAGGCTCGGTGCCTGTGGCTCAAGTGGCTGGGGCGCCAGCCACATACACCTAGGGTGGCAGGTTCGAATCCAGCCCAGGTCCGCCAAACAACAATGATGGCTGCAACCAAAAAAAAAAAAATACAAAAACTAATCCAGCTTTAGCTGTGGGCACCTATAGTCCCAGCTACTTGGGGGCTGAGGCAAGGGGATTGCTCGAGCCAAAGAGTTAGAGGTTCTTGGGCGCTAGGACGCCCCGGCACTCTATCCAGGGCACAGAGTGAGACTCTGTCTCCAAAAATAAATAAATAAATAAATAAATACATTTGTTGACTGAATGAATAGAAAAGAACTACATAGGACATTAAGTTGTAGAAGTATTTCTAAATCACTGCTCATCCCCCCCCCCAACACACACCTACATATACACACAAAGAAATGCAATGTTACTAAACCACTAGCACTCAATTTGCCAAGTGTTCTAACCTTTGACAATATTTTCACCTTGGTGGGTGTAAAGGAGCTTTCCAATCTGATAAAGTTGCAGGTTATCAGCCTAGACCTTATAGCCAACAGCTACACCCTAGTTTTAACCAATAGCGATAGGAGGAATATGGCAACAGAGAATGCTTGTGAATAGTAATCTATTGTGTGAAATTAATTCTACTCACTGTGTCTAAAGGATGACCTACTCTTGAATGGTAATAATGTTGCCAAAGCTTGGTTTCAAAGTGTTACCCAAGAAAAGTAAACTCCAGGGTAATCTCCCAGAGGAGTGATTTTGCTGATGCAGCAAGGGGCTGATGCAAGTGCAAGTGCATTTCATCTTTGCAGATGATTCACTTCAAGATTTAGGGTGTAAAGCGGTCACATTTTTTGGAATCCCTTTCCATGGAGTAGTCTATGCTAGGCATTATGTCAATCTTTCCATCATAAGCAACTTCAGATTCAGTGTTTTGATATGGTGAACCTGTCTTCACTGAAGTCATACATCACTTGTTCAGTTATAATAGAAAATGAAAGACACTGATAAAAGTAATGAGTAAAAGCCAGGTGCAGGGGCTCACACCTGTAATCCTAGCACTCTGGGAGGCGTAGGGCGGGTGGACTGCTTGAGCTCAGGAATTCGAAACCAGCCTGAGCAAGAGTGAGACCCCAGATCTACTAAAAATAGAAAAATAGGGTGGCACCTGTGGCTCAGTGAGTAGGGTGCTGGCCCCATATACCAATAGTGGTGGGTTCAAACCTGGCCCAGCCAAGCTGCAACAAAAAAATAGCCGGGGGTGGTGACTGTGGCTGAAAGGAGTAGGGCACAGGCCCCATATACTGGAGGTGGCGGGTTCAAACCTGGCCCCGGCCAAAAACTGCAAAAAAAAAAAAAAAGTAG